CAGTACTGGACAGATTGTGATGTGACATTTAAGGATTTCAAGGTTTTTTTCCTGAAGCTGTCAATGTAATGGTCAAATGTGTGGTTTCATGTATTGTGGGATGTCAGATGATTTATTTTTCCTGTGACTATTGATAGTGACTGGTAGTTGTGGGAGATATCATGATGGTTGCAAAAGAATATGTTGAGGTAGTGGCAGAAAAAGATTTATTTTCTAGTTCTACACAAATTAATACATTATCATTCAGTTCCAATTAGTGGTTTTCTTGATGACAAATTGATGCTGGGGTGTAATATCGTATCCATGTAGTGGGTCCTGACACCCTGATTTCTACAAAGGTGTTTAGTGTGTTGTAGAGTGGTATAGTAGGTTTCATTTTTTGTTTTTGTGTTGGACAGATGTCATAAGGATTTTTTTATATTTGTCTTGGGTTTCTTGAATGATCTCCAAGTAGGTTTCCTGATTTTTTTGCTGTTAGTTATTTTCCTTCCAGTGTGTGGGAGCCAGGTAGTGGTTTCTTGTTTGGGATAGACCTTTCTAGAGTATGGGGAAGATGCAGGAGATAGTTCCATACTTTTTTTTTTTTTTTTAAGACTTTATGAAGTGCTGCTTAGCTCTTTGAAGTTGTAAACAGCGGTCAGAATTTTAAAGATAGTGACTCATCTGGGACTGACATTTTAGAACTCAATTCTGGGAAGTTCTGAACACTTCCCAAAAATTAATGGGTCTATGCATGTTATTCAGGACTTCCAGGTTAGGCCCTACATAAGCATGTGTAGAGTAATACTACAGTAAAATTAGTATTATCCCTATTTTATTGATAAGGAGTTTGATATATTAAAGGTTAAGTGACTCAGAGGAGTAACTCTGAAGTTCTAATATCTTGGGAATGAAGATTATTCATAACTCTGAATAAAATATTATGGTTGTTATTTCAAAAGTTTACAACTGAACTTTGACTTAATACAAGTTTGAAACTTTTTGAAAAGCAGAAGAAAAATACTGCTTTTAGCCAACAGAAACAGTTTTTCTATGCTGTCAAATCTTTTTTTAAACTTTCCCTTTATTGTTCAGTACTATTCTGTATTTGTGTGTTTGTTTTATTTCCTCTGTGCTGCCTGATTGTGTACTTCCAACTCCAAATGAGGTGTGTGGTTGACCAGTCAATTGATAACTCTTGTACTCATAACCCTGAGGTTTCACTGTAGACAATTTTAGAACTAAGATTATAAATATCTTCTAGTATGATGAACAGACCAGTTGTTCATATTCCTTTTTTTGATGGTCCTGTGTTGCCTATAAACTGGTTTTATATGAAAAGTTTATTAGTGGATAATAGGGATGTCAATGTGTAGTCCACTACATGATTAACTGTTAAGTCTTGGCTTATAGGTTAATCTTATCGACTACACGCACTGCCCCTCCTTTGCTGCCTCTGTTTCATAGGCAGCAAGGGGGAGAGCTGGTGCCTGTGAGGAGCTGGCTTTAAGCAGGCTCTTCACTAACATTGGATCTGCCTTTCCTCTACCCCCGTGCACTGATAGAGAGACATCAGCACAAAGGGTGAGGGGGGCAGGCAGGAGCTGATACTTGCGGGGAGCCAGCTTTTGGCTCTCTGCATGTGCCAGCTCCGCAGACCCACCTGCCCCCCATTTGCTGCCTCCTACAGAGGCAGCGAAGGCAGGCAAGCAGGTTTAAAAGACGCTTTCCCCCAGCACCAGTTCTGCTGTGTCACCTATGCTGTCCCACTCCTCTGATGCTGCCTCAGACACACACACTGTGGACCGGGGATGCTACCGGGGACCAGCCTCTGTCTGCACTGGGCCCAGGCTCACTGCAGACAGAGGCTGCTTTGTGGGAGGCGGACTCCCCACCACAAACGGGTTGCTGCTGGGACCAGCCTCTGTCTCTGGGAAGCTTGGAGCCCCACGACAGGGGCTGCTGTCACCCCGCGCTGCTGTCTGTGTATTGGAGGCAGCAGCATGGGGCAGCAGGCAGCTGGTCTATGCGAGGAGCTGACTTTTAAATTGGCTTCCCTTGCAGACTGGCTCCTGCCTGCCACCTGATACAGAGGAAGCAGTTTGAGGTGGCAGGGAGCTCCCTGGGAGTGGGGCTTGGAGTGTACTGGCTGCCGGCCCCGCCCCCAGGAACTATCAAATAGTCATGTAACCAATATGATTTAATGCAGTTACACGACTATCCAATTACACTATATCTAACATCCCTAGTAGATAATTTTTATAGCTCCTTTCTAATATTAAGCTTACTGTTGAGGGGTTGACTTTCAGTATTTTGGGAAGATTGCAGACTTATTTTAGCAGCATACTGTTTCAGTTCATCTGCAGTGTACATTTTTTCTTTGTGTTTGAAGCCTGTTTATATATGGTTCTGGAACTGAGTGTCACTCCAGAATGCCCAAAAATAAACCTGATGGTCTAACAATTCAATAATGTGTTCTCCCACTCTGGCTAGTTGATAATGCATCTTGACAGTTTTAATTTAACGCTATTGAGAGGCATGGATCAGATCTATCAAAGTTTGAAAGGGTGAAGGGGAATAAATCTAAGTGACATGAGTAAAAAATAAAATTTTGAGAGAGGAAAAAAGGTAATTCAGGTAACACTGCCCTTTGGGAACAAGAACCCAGTTTGGAGAGGATAGACAGTGTATTTCAGTGTATTTTATTGTTTGTAAGGGTTTATAGGCAAGTGACTGTGTGTCTCTGGGATCAGATCATTTGGAGCACTAGAAGGGAATCCAGTCCAGTCGTAAGAGTTAAACTGCGTTTTCTTCCTCATGCAGCATAACCAATAACAAAAGTTCTGCCAACCAAATTATGCCCACCATGGCATCTGTGTAATGATGGTGTAACCCTGTCACCATTAGTAGGTTTGTCTTGGGTTAACAACTTAGAATTTATTTTTTTTCAAAACCCACTTGCATGGAGTGCACTAGAAACCAGCTCTCCTTGTCTTGAATGTATAGGCTCTGCAGAACAAACAGAAATAGAAAGGAACAAGTGTTTTGCACGTGTGTGTTAATGGTGTTGTTTTCTGGTTAGTCAAAAAAGGCACTAAATACATACAGAGAACACAGACACTTTTTGTGTTAGAGCAGCATTTTCAGGTGGTGAAACTTTTTAGTTTAGAAAAGTTGTTAGGTAACTTTAGAAGTTTTAGGAAAATGTATTTTTCTCAGTCGGAGTCTCAACAGTTGGATTCCTGTTGCTCAGGGAATCTGAACAGATGGAGAGTTACAAAAATAATCCCAGTAAAATATGTGACACACAGACATGGCATATGTCATGATCTGTAATTCAGAGGTTTAACTGGCAAACTTTCAGGATGAAATGCAAGTTTCATTTATGCCTTTACCACTTCATGCCACCATCACAACCATGCCTGATAAAATCTTTGTACAATCCCATCATGTATTCTCCCTATATATAATTGGATATTTATATATTATGAATATTTATGGTTGCTGGAGGTTACAGCAACAGACTAAATCAATGGTTCTAAATTATATTCCCTGTTTTGTAATTTGACTCCCTTAGTGGCCTTGATCAAGTCACAAACCACTCTGTGCCTTAGTTTCTTCATCTTTAAAACATGGATACCACTTCCCTGATTTTGTAAAGTGCTTTTGATCTGAAGCTGGCAGAAAATTTAGATGTGCAAAATATTATTTTGCTTCATTTATTTTTGATGTGTTTGGTGTAAATCATTCATAGAACTTCATGTAAAATACTAGTAAACATTTCATAGCATTATATATTTTGTAAAAGTAACATAGCTATATGAAGCCTCACTAGAAAATCCTCTGGGCATTTTGTGAGTGTTAACTGATTTGTTGTGTAGTGAAATGAAAACTATAGGCTTTTTAATGGCTTCCAAATTTAAATATGCAACAAGTCTTCTGTATCCAAAATGTAAAGTCAACACCAATCAAGTAAAAGTTTGTGGTAAAATATGTGGATTGTGGTATCTTTGGCACTTTATAAAGGTAGGCCATTTGTTTTATTCTAGGGTTGCCCACTTTCGAATTATACAGAACCAAATATCCTTGTCCCTTCCCTGAGGCCCTGTCTCTCTGCTCTCTCTATCCCTACTCCCTCTGTTGCTCGCTCTCCCCCATCCTCCCTTGCTTGCTCATTTTCATCAGGATGTGGTGGGGTGTTGAAGCGTGGCCTCCGGAGTGGGGCCACAAATGAAAGGTTAAAGGTGTTGGGGGGGGCCTCTGGACTTGGGCAGATTGGGGCATAGGAGGGAGGTGAGGGGTCTGGCTGGGGATGTAGGCTCTGGAGTGGGGCTGGGGATAAGAGTTTTGGGATACAACAGGGGACGTCAGGACTGCAGAGAAGAAGGGAAGTCAGGGCATAACCAAACCCTGACATTGCTTTAAATTAGACAAAGAGGGAGCTGCATGTAAATTTGGTGGCCCTATCTCTTAACGTTTAGAAGGACTTTCTTGAACAGACTCACAGACAGACGCACTCTAATTTGTCTATCTATAATAGAGATTGTTAATTGTTTTTATCCAGCTACTTTTTGACTAATGGACGAAATTCCTTGCTACTAAATTAGACATTTTAAATTAAAATTTTTAATTTGATTTTGTGCCTTAAATAGTCACTTATATTCCAGTAGTAATTATTCTAATGATGGTTCTGAAAATACAGCTGAGGTAAATTTAGAGCACTTTTTAAACTATTGCTTAACGAACAGATCGCTTAGAAAATATTTTAGAAATGATGTTATGTTTCAGTAGCTCAACTCATATTAACAAATCCTGCTATCTTCCTTTTAAACAATCTACAAAGTTTTTATTTGGTAGTGGAAATAAACTGTTCTAGAGAATAGTCTATCCTATAATTTGAAAAACCAGCAACCTGTTAGCTCACTATTGTTTTTTTGTCACCTTCCTAGTGTTCAGTAAATAAATCTTTAGTTAACAATGAACTCATTTCTAACAATAGTCTCCCACTTCTTGTTTTGTAGCAGTAGCTCCACCACCAGGTGGAGGAGTAGTAATGATGCAGCTAAATATACCCAACAATCCTCAGCCTCGAACCCATTCACCTCCTCAGTGGAAACATAATAAATATTACTGTGACCATCAAAGAGGACAGAAATCCACAGAGTTTAGCACTTTAGAGAGTATCACACAGGTATGATTTACTTTTTCCTGGGATCATTTGTATTATGAATCTTATATTTAAAAAGAGAAAATTCATTTCTGAAAAGGAACAAAATAAATCCAGTGCTTGTCAAACAGTAATATTAACATTTTTGTGTCCAGCATCTGAATATTGTAAATATGTGAGATTCAGGTAAATAAATTTAAAATCACTGACTTCTCAGGGACCAATATCTTTGTCATGTTTACTCTAGTTTCAGCATAATGCTCAACTAAATAGCCCTGTCACCTCACCAGCCCAGTCACCAGCACCAGCTCAACTATCAAATATGAAAAACCTCCATCCCACATTAACACCTCTTTCTCTTGTGTCCCAGTTTTCTAGATCTTTTGTCCCTGGACAAGGTAAGATTTTTAGCTAACTGAAATACATAAAAAACATACATTAATATTTATTCTGGTATGTAATTTTTTTCAATCAACTTTGAGGGCAAATTGTGATTGATTTTAGTGGTTTTTGCCAGAGTGTTCAAAAATGTATTCCTTTAATTGTAAAAAATAACTTGATGCTTCCGTACTTTCCTTTGCCCCAAATAAAATAAAAAAGCTGTGAACTTCATGCTAGTAGGTAGGGGGCTTTTAGAACCATGCTGCTCCTTCATAAATAACTTTTAGCACTGAGAAATTGTACATTTGGGATATATTTTAATTAAAACAAAACAAATTACTCTTAGATGTATTTGATTAAAGCATAGTACATGCTTGATGTGGGCATGGTACATGGGAAGGAGAGATAAAAATGCAGGATAAGAGACACTGCCTTTTCACCAGACTCTTCACCAGATTCTTCATCCTCAACCCATTGATTAAGCCGCAGATTGAGCCACTAATACACTGTAGACTCTTTAGATTTACACTGCCTAGAAGAGTGAGACAGGAGCGTCTAAATATGACTACAGTAGTGCTACTAATAATTGATGTAGAGCTGTTAGATAGTGATCAATGAGCCAGAAAGTAGAGAGTCCTGACATCTCTGTCCTTCGGGTCTGCCATGTTCACGCAATTATTGTTTTCTCAGAAATACTTTTTATAAAAAGCCAAGAGTGGAATCTTCTGGCATAGTTTTAAGGGAAGAACAATGAGTATGGTGTTTTCACTGATTAGACACACAACTACTCTTTTTCTTGGCAAGACAGCTGATTCTCAGTGTTCAAATAACCAAGTCTAGAATAGTGAGCCAGTGAATAGCGCCTTATAATTGAGTAGGTTCGCTAAAAAGTTTATTATGTGATTAGTTACTGCTACCTGTCAGAAACTGAAAAGTAGATGAAGCTCTACAATGGGTGTGATATGGGAAATGTTTTCAGGCAGAAAAATAAATTCAGTATTTCCTCCCTTTCAAGAAATAAATCTTACTTATTTTTTAACATATTCTCTCTATCGGTTACTTTCCCTAGTAAAACATTAATGTATTCACTAACTTTAGCATGAATGTTAGATGACCCATTGTTAAGCATATCTCTCAAGTTCCTTAGTCCCTTTGCATAATTTTAAAAGATTTCTATTCATTCACTTTATGGATCCCTCAAGTGAATAGGAATTTCAAGACGTGGGTAGCACTGGACCAGGGTGGAGCGTTAACAAGTTTTAACTCATGAAAACTATTTGAGGAGATTTGAATCTAGATTGAAACTATGGCAGAGAAACCAGGGGACATAAGTACTTCCTATAACTTTTTAAAACGTGTTTTTAAATGCAAGGAATACTGGGTCTGTGACTTTTGAATTTGATAGTTTATGATCAATCCATTATTTTCCCACAAGTTTACTACTGAGTGATAAATTCGTGACATGTTTTTTTACTCTCTTAAGAGGCCAACCTTGTATTCTTTCTGGTAATAATCACATTAAAATTATTTCCTTGTATGTATTCATACTATATTACCTACAATATTTGTGAGGGGTAGACTGTTAAGAGCATTGGGGTGGAGGGAGATTTTTTAAAGAAAAAAACATAAACACTATTTTTCTCATCTTCAGGAGATCCAAGATACCCACTGCTCGGTCAGCCACTGCAATATAACCCTGCACCTTTGTTACATGGTCATGTAACAGGCCAACAGGTATGAACAAGTACCAACTCTTGGGCATGTCTACACCATGTTTGTCTGTACCACTTGAGCTGTAAATTCTAATGCAGTGGTTTTCAACCTGTGGTCTGTGGTTTCCAGGGTTACACAGACTAGAGCTAAGGGGTTTGCAAACGGTTGTTGTTACCATAGAACAGTAGTTTACAACCTGTTTAAAATTTCCAAATGGTTCTGTACTTCCATTTGAAATGTTTTGGAGGTCCACAAATGAAAAAAGATTGAAAGCCACTGATTTAATGCATACTAGCATGTTGTGCATTAAGTGGCCCAGCTGTACTGGCATGCAGTAAAAGTTCCCTGGAGTGTGTTAATGTAGTAATGTTTGAAATAGAACTAATTACCCTAATGTGTAACAGAGGATGTTTAGTGTGTGCAAGCAGGATACAAATCTGTCAGTTGGTGCATGAGACGGCGGTTTGCATTAGAATTTTACACTACATTTGGTCTGAACTAATGTTCCATGTAGAAACACCTGTAGCAAAACTAGGGACAACAATCCAAGGCTGCCTTGGTAATAACTATGAAGGAGGAAAAGGTACTTTTGTATTGGAAATGTACCTTAGTTTGCTGATTTGGGAAGAGAGAGAGGAGCTTTCTGATAAGTCCATTTTTGTTCTGTATTGATACTTCATGTTTTTGCTGTGAATAACAGTGATGGGGATAGGGACACAGCAACATATTTAGAAATAGCCTTTCATAGTAAAATTAAATTTCCAAAAAGCTGAGATTGACTTTTCTGGTCACTGCTAAAAAATACAAGATGTTTGTTGCATACATGGCCAATTTAATTTTGACTACACTTACACTTCAGCATCAAAATGTTCAAGAAACTACATAGACAGTCTTGGTTGATTTATTGTTCTATAGTCAAAACTGTATGGTACAAGAAAAAAAACTAGTGCATCACCAGTTCTTCTGGGAAGCTTGTTCTCTCAGGCTATGTCTACACTGCCGGCTTTTGCTGTCAGAGTATGCAAATGAAGCGCTGATTAGTAATTTGTTGCATTTCTTTTGCATAATCTATTTGAGCCCTTTTTGCGCAAAAAACCCTTTTTGAACTAAAAGGAAATGTCCACGCTGCTTGTTTTTACTCAAAAACCCCTTGTGCAAAAATGGCTCAAATAGATTATGCAAATGGAGTATGACAAAATGCTAATCAGCGCTTCATTTGCATACATTGCCAGCAAAAGCCGGCAGTGCAGACAAAGCTTCAGTGTTCAGTTCATTTTACATTGGTGTGCTGGACAAAAACTACCTATTTATAATGGGGTTGTTTACAAACTGAAACGCTTTTTATCATCTAAGATTCCATCTACCAACTTCAACTTTTTTTTATGGTGTACACCACCTGTCTTTTTGTTTTTGAACATGGCATTTCAAACTAGTTAGTCCATGAAGACTTTCTCTCACAGTTGCATGGTAGAGCAATTAGATCTTGTTTTGACAGTTCTTCAAGTGATTGCTCCTGTGCATCGCAATATGTGTGCGTGCATGCCGCATGCATGATAATCTGAAGACTTTTCCCTACCAGTATCCTGGGGTCAACTGTAGTGCCTCTTGTAGTGACTTCACGGTGTCATATATATACCCCCACTGACCTGACTCCCACTTCAGTTCCTTCTTTCTGCCAGTGATGGTTGTTAGACCTTTGGACTTCTTGATTAGCAAGTAGTTCTTCCCTAGTGCATAGTTAGTGTTCTTTGTTGTGTAGACAGATTTGTTCTCAGTTAGGTAAATAGCATCTCTGCAGGGGTCCCCTCCCACCCCATATGCAGACTATCTGCAAAGCCTGTGGGACATGCAGCGGCCCCAAGGGTTTATACCCATGGTCACCAACCCGTCAATCGGGAGGGCTCGACCAGTTGATCGCCAGATGTTCGGGGCCCCCCCAAGAAGCCCCACTACCTACCTCCAGTGACAATGGAGGTAGTGCCAGCTTCCCATGGGGTGGACGGAAGTCCGGCAGCTGTGCGCCACTTCTGGGGTTTCCAGAAGTGTGCTGCCTGGTCCCCTCCTCCAGGTCTGCGGCACGCCGGGGACTTGTTGCGCGGTGGGAGGAGTCCCAGTGGGAGGCGCGTGCTGGGGCTTCCCTCCAGGGGAGTGGAGAGAGGGGTTAGGAGTCCCCAGAGGAGGCATGCACCCGGAACGTCCCTCCTCTGTGGGGGATGGGGAAGGAGTCCAGGGGGGAGCGGGAGGTGCGTGATGGGGCTTCCTTCCTCTGCAGGTGGAAAGGTTGGCCCCGAGGGCACACGTGCGCTGGCTTCCCTTCTCCTTGGGAGGGGGGAGTCAGGCCCAGAGGGGGCATACAACGGGGGCTTCCTTCATCCGCAAGAGGGAGGGTCGGCCCTGAGGGGGCGCGTGTGTGTGCTTCAATGCTCTGTGGGAGGGGGGAGTCGGGCCCAGAGGAGGCCTGCGACAGGGCTTCCTTCCTCTGGCAGGTGGAGGGAAATCCTAGGAGGCTGGGGCAGGGGACTCTCTGCCCCCACTGGCACCCTGTCACCTGCCCCAGCACCCACTTGCACCCTTCCCCAGTACCATGTCCCCTGCTCCCACCAGCACAGTTGGGGCCACATTAATGAGGCTTAGGGGGTTTTGGAGGAATGGTGTGGTTTTTTGGGGGGTTTTTTTGCATCTCACTTGTGTGGCCCCAACTGACTTTTCTGTGGGTCAGTGACCCCTGACTCAAAACAGGTTCCCTGCCCTTCTCAGAAATAAAGACAATGCAGAAACTTTTTGGCTGTGTCTAAACTGGCCAGTTTTTCCAGAAAAACTTGCCAGCTGTCTACACTGGCTGGCTTGATTTTCCCAAAAACACTGGATTTCTTCTGTAAAAAATCAGTGCTTTTTGCGGAAATACTATGCTGCTCCCGTTCAGGCAAAAGTCCCTTTTGCGCAAAACTTTTGCGCAAAAGGGCCAGTGTAGACAGCTCAGATTTGTTTTGCGCAAAAAAGCCCCAATCGCGAAAATGGCAATCGGGGCTTTTTTGCGGAAAAGCGCGTCTAGATTGGCCACGGATGCTTTTCTGCAAAAAGTGCTTTTGTGGAAAAGCATCCATGCCAATCTAGATGCTCTTTTCCGAAAATGCTTTTAACGGAAAACTTTTCCGTTAAAAGCATTTCTGGAAAATCATGCCAGTCTAGACGTAGCCCCTGTGCTTGACATAGTATTTTATTTAAAAATGAAGCCTGGCCAGCAAACCCCCAGTTGGGGCCAAACCCTCATCTGGCCACAGCATAACACTCCTGCACTCCTCCTTTCCCCAGACCCTAGATCTGAGCCTATCATATGCTGGGTGTAAAAAGGTTGGAGACCACTGTTTTATACAATGTGTTACTTGCAGGAAAGTATGTCTACAGGTGACCCACATGCTAAATGTCTGGAGGCGCAGCCGGTCGCCATTTTAAAATGCCGGTCGCCCAATGTAACTTGCCGCGTGTAGACGCGGTAGTCCGATTTAAATCCCTTCCCTCGAATTAACTAGTACTGAGGAGTGCAGGAGGAATAACAGGTAGTTCGAAATAGGGCTTTATTTTGAAAGCCCATTTCACTGCCGAAGCAAAATGCAGGACAATGTAGCACTTTAAAGACTAACAAGATGGTTTATTAGATGATGAATTATTATTCTACATTTCACTGCCGTGTGTATATGTGGGCAGTTATTCCAGGGCAGTCACTTTTTCAAAAGAAGAGGTTGCATTCTAGACGCTCTCTTTCGAAAGAGGCTTGCAGTCTAGACATAGCCCAGGAGAATATCATCTTCAAGACAAGTGTAACATCTGCAAGGGTTTCAAGCCCCATGCTAAACATGCGAGAGACCAGAAATTTAAGTTGTTGCTGATGGAGTCAGCACTTTGCCCTATGGTGCAATTCATCTCTGTTGATGTGTAGTGTGCTAGCCTCAGTGCGGGACACTTTGGCACCGAGACCGGAGGAGTGCTGGGTCTATCAGCACCAATCACCTGTGCATAAGGTTAGCTCCTCGGCATGGCACCGCTCCCATTTGCAAGTGTCTTAAGAAAAGAAAAGGACCAACCGAGGACACTCTCCTTCCAGGAAGCCTAATAAAGGCCCAGAGGCTGCCTGCATGGTGCTAACCTGTCCAAGTGGGGCACCTCAGCCCCAGCACCATTGACTGTGGCACCCAGGGCGGGGCCATCGAGTCCAGTGTCAGTTGACTCTTCAGAGCCCGAGGCAGTAGAGGAAGACCTGGACTTGCCCTCCATGCCTAACATCTTTGAGTCCACTCAGGACCTCATTGAGTTTATGACGCCAACATCAACAATGTATAAGAAGCCTCACCAACTGCTGATGCAACTGTCCATGGCACCACTACCAATAGTGGCATCACCTCTGGAGTCACCTCCAGGTCTGGCCTTAGTACCACAGACAGCTCCTGCTACATTAATGACTGGGGTGAAGCAGAACACCTTCCTGCTGGTGTCAGTGACTTCCTATAGTGCTGTACGTGAACCCTACTTTGGCTTCGCTGGCCCCCTCAGCACCAGGCCCCTTCTCTGTGCTGCCAGCACCGAGACACTGTGGCAAGCGAGTTTCCATGAGATGACATGGGAGTTCGTCACAGCACCATACCCCAGCAGCTCCGCTCCCCCGTGGTCCATGGCAGATTACACATCAAGCTTAGAAGCTGAGTCCTTTGTGTCCCGCAACTCTAGATACCACTCTTGTTCCAGGCATCGCTCCTGGATTCCATAGGCATACCACCAGAGCCATGGGCAGGGCCCATCTTCTAGGTCTGCCTCAGTGGCACCATAAACAGCAGCTTCGAAGCCAGACTCCCTTCTGGAGACAGAGGCACAGGCTGGGAGGGGTAACAGGACGCCGATGGTTCCTGTGACTGTAAGGATTTTAAGTTAATTAGCTAATCGAGTAGTCAATGGAATTTCCATCAAGTACTCAATTAGTTGATAAGGGGGGCGCTCACTACTACTGCTATGGCTCTGCAACTTAAATGTAAGAGGAGCTGGGTGCGCAAGCAGCCGGCTCCAAATGCGGAGCCGCAGTGAGGTTAGCTCCCAGGGGTGGCACAAGCTGGGACTGAGCAGTCTCGGCTTGCGCTGGCTCTGGGACTGCTGCGACTTTGTATTTTAAGAGTCGCCTGGCTCTTGCTACATTCTGGGTACATCTAGACTACGTTCTTGTTTCGAAAGCAGATATGCAAATTTGGCACTAATTTGCATATCTTCTTCCGAACACTTCTTTGGAAGCATTTTCATCTAAAGTGAAAGCAGTTTAGACGGGGGGGAGGGGTTTAAAGAATCCCATCTAAATGGCTTTCACTTTCAAAAAAGCGATCACAAAAAGAGATGCAAATTTGGTGCTAATTTGCATATCTCCTTCCAAAAAAAGAACGTAGTCTAGATGTATCCTACAAAGGCAGAGCCACAGTGGGGGACCCAGCACCTCTGCCTCCCCTGTCACCTCCTCCCCTCTCCCCGGGGAGACAGTGCTGGGGGGAGCTGGCTTTTAAACCAGCTCCCTCCACACCTGCTCCTGCTCCCCACCCTTGCTGCCTCTGATACAGCTTATTTCAAAATTTAGTGCTGTCTACAAAGCACTTATTTCAAAATAAATCGCTATTCTGAAATGTCCCTTACTTCACGTGGAATGAGGTTTACAGGGACGTCAAAATAATATGCACATTATATTTCAAAATACCAAGTGTGTTCAAAAGATGCGGGATAGCTGGTATCCTGAAATAGTGCTGCAATGTAGACGTAGCCCTAGTGTTCTTCCCAAAGCTGTATACCATGGACAGGAAAAGAGTGCTGAACTCCCTAGAAGTCAGGCATGCCATTGCTTTATATCTGGAGCATACTAAACCATTCCAGCAGTCAACATCCCTTTTTATTTCCATTGCGGAATGCATGAAGGGCCTCCTGATTATGTCACAGTGCCTTTCATCTTGGATCACTACGCGCATCAAGCTGTGCTATGATTTGGTCAAGGTGCCAGCCCCGCCTGTCACAGCCCACCCCACTTGGGCACAAGCCTCATCGGTGGCCTTTCTGGCACAAGTTCCGATTCAAGGCATCTGCAGGGAGTCTATTTGCTTCTCAGTACACACTTTCAAGACTAGTTACACCCTCATCCAACAGTCCCAGGATGATACGGCATTTGGCAGAGCTCTAGTGCACTCAGCAACGAGTTGAGGTCCAACACTGATTCCTTACAAACTGCTGATAAGTCACATGTTGCAGTGCACATGAGCAATCACTGGAAGAAGAAAGAACTGTTACTTACCTTTGTAACTGTTGTTGTTCTTCAAAATGTGTTGCTCATGTCCATTCAAGACCCACCCACCTTTCCTCTGTTGAGTTGTTCTGGCAAGAAATAACTGAAGCAGGAGTCGTGTTGACAGGGTTACATATACCACACCATGAGGCATAACCACAAGGGGCACTACAGCTGACCCAACAGATACTGCTAGGGAAGTCTTCTGACAACTGTACATGCAAACACATGTGTTAGATGGACATGAGCAACATATCTTGAAGAACAACAGTTACAAAGGTTAAGTAACCGTACTTTTCCCTATCTTCCTATGCCAGATGCTGACTTCCACTATTATAAGGTCTTGTCTGAATAGTTAGCATGAGAGAGCAAGAATAAGCATAATATGATTTATCATGACTACCCAATTTATATCCACTGTATAAAGGTTAGGGTTTTGTTGGGCCCTTAGCCAGAGGAAGTGGAAATCCTTCCCCACTCCTTCCGCTTGCAGTCCCTCCCTCCATCTCTCCTGTGTTCCTGATGCAGAAATGGGGTCAGAGTGTGGGGGCTTGCTCCGCCAACCTGCCTGGTGCTCCCATGCCCCCACCCCGCTCCCTAGCAGAAGTGTCAGGCGGTCAGAACAGTGCAAGCCCTTGGGCCCTGGGTAGAGTGCTGGGTAGGCAGAGCAGGTTGGGGGAATGAGAGGGGTATCTATTTTTCCAGGCGCCCCAAACGGTGAGCTTATTCAACACTGTCACTATACTGTATCACATGAATGGTTTTAATACCTGTTGTTGTGGTGTATACTACACGGGTTACATGGATCCGACTTATATCAGATCCCTACTTACAAACGGGGTGAGGCAACCCCGCACTAGCTGCTTCCCCCCAGCAGACCAGGGAGACGCAAAGCTAGCACCCCTCCCAGCAGACCAGGGAGACGTGGAGAGGCTTTTCTCAGCAGACACCTCAGCTTGAGAATAAAGGACTGAGGGAAGTGAGGTGTGGGAGAATAAAACTGAGCTCTGGAGAAATGTTTGGCTAGAGTTTCCCCTACAATATGTGCCAGTTCCGACTTACATACAAATTCAACTTAAGAACAAACCTACAGTCCCTATCTTGTACGTAACCCGGGGACTGCCTGTATATGTATTGGCTAACCAGCTATTGTCACTTTTCCCTCCTATATGCCCTCATACCAGAGACTGAACATGTGTTTGTGTAATAGTGCAAGGCCCTAGGAATAACACTGGACCCAGAAATCTGGCCCTCTTCTGTACTGTCCTGGTGTAGCATCTATTTACAGTGCTTGTGGACAATTATTCATCACTTGCAACCCTTCTTTGTAGCTTGTAATACTACAAATGTAATCCTTGTAAGTTGTAACCATATCATGTTTGTTTGAGCTCAGTGTCAACCTGCAAACAGACATGGAAACAGAGGAAGGAAACCAGCTAAGAAGGCCGCTTCAGCAGATCTTGGTGCAGGAGAATCAGGTATGTAATTGTTGGTGATGCTGCACTCTGAGGGTACATCTACACAGCAGTATTATTTCAGAATAACTAAAGATATTCCAAAATAACATAGTGTGTATCTACACTACAAGCCTTTATTTTAAAATAATGTCGAGCTGGAGAACTTCTTACTCAGACTCATTGTAACCCTCATTTCACAAGGAGTAAGGGAAACTGAAGGAAGAGTGCTCTTTCTTCCTTCGATTTCCTGCTGTGTAGACGCGCCAAAAGCAGAAATAAGCTATTTCAACTTGAGCTATATCAATTGCACAGCTTAAGTTGCATAGCTTATTCTGACTTTAGCCCTGCTGTGTAGATGTGCCCTAAGAGAACTATTGAATCAAAAACTGAAGCAGTGAGAACTGCATTATTCTAATTTATTTATTGCATTATTCAGACCTGAGTAGGGGAGTGGGTCTGGCTGACATCTGATGCAGAATTGGATGAGTTACAGACGACTGAATATTAATGTGTGTCTACACATGGGATACAGAAAAATAGGAATCGCCCATGTTGGTGCTATGAGTCTATATAGGGCAGTCAGAGGGATCCCAGCAGTGGTCATAAGGATTTCAACAGTGACAAAGGCTCTCTGTAAGGGTGTAATGGCTGGAAAATATCTGTAAGAAGAGGATAAAACAACATAGTGTGTATATTGTGGCAGATCAGTGGGATCTATAGGAGTTGGTTATATGGGATCACTTGAAGATGTGGTTGTATGGAAGATGTCTGTAGGGAATGCAGCAATGTTGATGAATATGGGTTTGTTTGGAAGCACAGGGAGTTGTCTGAAAGGTTTGCGGAAAAACGGATGTCTGTGTGATAGCTTTGTATGTGAGACTTGCAGCAGCTACAGAAGTACCAAAAGGAAGGAAGTGTGCAGTTTGATACAAAAGGAAAAGAAGGTGAAGTGTGAATCCCAGGAAGGTAAGAATGAACTGGACCAAGAGGGAGACAGCAAACACAGGGAAAAAATGG